GTGTGCAACAGGGTGTGCATTAGGGTGTGCGCTAGGGTATACAATTTGGTGTACATTATGGTATACATTAAGGGATGCAATAGAGTATGCCGTAGAGTATCCAATAGGGTATGCATTAGGGGATGCAATAGGGTATGCCATAGGGTATCCAACCGGGTATCCAACGGGGTACGCAACCAGAGGGTATGCAGTAGGGTGTGCAACAGAAATAGCCCTTCTCCACCGGCACCACGGCATTTCCAACGGCAGGGACGTAAGCAGGCGCTGGCTCTGGCTGGCGGCCGGCGCGCGCTCTGCAGCGGGCTCTGCTGCTCTGTGTCGAGATGTGTACTTCGTGGTGAGTTTTTTTTGGTGTTTTTTTTTTTTTTTGGTGGGGTTTTTTTTTTTTTTTTTTATTAAAAGAAGGTATCAGCCTTCTGTTTGATGTGTTGTTGGCCGCGGTTGCTAAGGGGAGCAGTGTACAATTACAGCCCCAGTGATGTCCACTCTAATAATACACTTGGCTCTGCATAGCTCAGATGCAGACACAGCTCTGCTATAAAGAGCACGGCCATTTCAACAGAGGAATACTCCAACTTATGTTACATGTGAAGGGTTTGTGGCACATTGCTTAACACCCCCCCCGCTGAAGAAGAAAAGCAGTGCAGCCAGTACAAGCCAGTGAGTGAAACCATGACAAGCAAAAACCTCTCGCCGGAGACCCTACTTTCAATTTATTAATTAAGAAGGTATTTCTAGAGGGGTGAAGAAACCATACATGCATCCACCAAGATGTTCTTGCATGCCCCCATCCACCCAAGCTCCCTGGGCCCAATTCGGCCAGGTCCATCCCAAGGGGCTTGCGCAGCCCAAAATCGCTTCTTGTACCAAACACCAACCCAAGCTCAATGAGGAGAAAATCAAACCCAAATGACCCCCCTCAGTGCTGAGCCCCCACATGGCAGCATCTCCCTGAGCTTGACCAGCTGCCCACCCTATGAGTCCCCTTTCCGCATCTCCCTTCAGCATCCCGAAAGGTTCGCAAGCACCCAAATTCAAGACGCAGCCAAGATTTGGGACCAAAACACAGAGGGAGGGATAAATTCAAACCAGAGTTTTCCCGATAGATCCCCTTAGAGCCTGAAATGGTGCAACGCCGGCCGGGGGGGATGCTCTTTAGAGGAGCTGCCTGCAGGGAGGGGGATGACATGACAGTATTCCCATGCCGCGGCGCTGGCATCTGTTTTGGGATCGAAACAAGTCCCCTGAGATAAGCCGCGAACATGTGCAGTCCCCGAGCACAAGCACCTTGTCAACAGCTGAAAATATAAGAGGAGCCAGGTTAAAAAGGCAGTTTATTCAGTTTATTGCCTGCTCTGCGGGAAAACGCCTTGCTGCTTGCTTTAAGGTCCAGCGGCGTATAGGGATGCTGTCTATAGGTACTGGGATCCTGCTTAGGGTGGCTCAACGGGTTAACGCACTAATTTATGAGATCCTCCGGTGGGGCTGAGCTGTTGCCATCGCAGTCCCAAGAGAAAGGGACAAACAAGTCTCTACAAAACAGGAGCATCTGCCGGGAGCAGATGGGGGGGGGCGAGCGAGCCGGCCCCAGGCGCCAGCAGCACTGAGGGGGGATCACATTGATCCCGATTTATCACACCCCGGCAGAGTAATTCCCCAGCTCGCCAGCGCCCGGCGAGCCGAGCTCCTTACATCCGGAGATCAGATTAGTCTGAAAGGTGTTAGAGAGACATAAATCCAGCTCTGGAGCAAGCATTTTAGTAAAGGTTTGTTTTTTTTTTTTTAATTAATGGTAAATTATCTAGAAATGGCTGATGGAAAATATCTGATGGTGGAGGGGCCAGGACTGGAGCTGGGTAATGTTATATCATCAACCATATATCAACATATCATATTGATATTGATAATATGTCATATATCAATACCATCAACCCCTTTATTTCACATCAAGGCGGCTGCAACAAGTCTTTTGTGCTTCATACCTGGGTCTGTCTCCAGCCAGGGCTATCAAGCCTAAATGCATCACAAAAAATCCCAGTTTCAGGCTGACCAAAGTATTTCATGAATCATGCGAATGCATCCAATGATTTTGGTTAGAAAAAACTCCTGTGCTTGGAGAAAGTCAAAATCCTTTACTATCAGAAAGGAAATATTACATTATTTAATTTCACATAGCACTTTGCTTTTGACCTGTAGTGATCTGTCACCTTTTGCCCCATCAAGACGTTTTTAAAAGATGTGCAGTTTGGGGCTGAGCAAATCCCTTTTGCCTATTTTTCTATGCTCTTGCACATGAAATCAGTCACCCGCACACCCTGCTCACCCTTTACATTTCATTTCTTCCCAGCCTTCCACAACGGACATCATGTGCCCTTCACGCCGAGACAGGCTACATGTTCCTGGGAAGCACCTTGCAACTCTCTGGAGATATGAGATATATTATTTATCCGACATCCATGCTATGAAGAGCTGAATATGAAGCCAGTTATTATTGCAGATGACATTGTAGTATATATCAGTCCACTGGGTCTGTTGGTAGGGGTGGCAGTGTTGGGCCAAGAGAAGAAAGCAAGTTGGAAGACTCCTCCCTAACCCAGAAGCACTGCCATCATCCTCATTTTTTGGGTAACACCCTGCTGCTCCCTGGCCATCGCTCCTGGACTTTATTTTGGATTTCTTAGCATTGCTCAGCCAAATGGAGGAAGACGTAAGAGCGACCTGGCATGGGAGGAGTGGGATGCTCGGTTGGGTTAGAGGCCCTTACAGCCCTTTGCTGCTAAATCTGGGACTGATGTTGACCGCAGTTTGTCTCCTCCTGCTTTATAATTGCTTTGGAAATAAATCAATCAGGAAAAAAATCACTGCCTGGTACACACGATGGGCAGATATGTGTTGTGCCCAAGGGCTTTGTGGGGGAGAGCAGAGAAGGAGTGGGCACAGGGAGAGATGCTAGGTTTGATACGCACCCAGGGCAATGAGAAAAGCAAAACCACATCAGTGACTTTGCAGAATTATCTTAGTTTATGTTAAATATTGATTTTCATTATTTTATTTTGCTCCTTATACCCATTTCCCGTGCTTTCCCCATCATTATCCAGGATGGAAAAACCACATGGATTCAGCCCAGCGCAGCTGCTGTATCCGCTCGCTGAGCAGCTCCTGGCTGTTTCAATGGCAAAAAAAGCCGGAACACCACAAGGACAGACTGGTTCTCAGGTCTGCTCTGCCGTTTCCAACACCTCTCCGGGCAGGTATCTCCTCCCAGCCATCCTCGGGGGGTTTGCCCTGCCTGCGCACAACCTGCCGGCACAAAGCTCTGATCTTGGTTGGGATTATATCTCCTTGGACCTAGGCTAGGCCAGATCCAGGTGGGCTTTCTAAACCTGGCTCTGACATTACAGCTACACCCTGGTTTTCTCCAGCTTCCTGCTCCATCAGCCTGCACACCTCTGCATGTGGTCCTGGCACGTGGACATCGCCCTGCTATGGCATCACGTGGAGCTGAAGCAGAGGGAGATGGAAAGACCTGCCCAAGGTGAAAGGCTGATTGCTCACACAGCAAACCTAAAAGCCCTGAATCTGGTAGATATCCAAGCCTACCAGACTACTGGCTATCCCCTTCCCTCTCATTTTCATACGAAAATCCATTGCCAGAAACATTTTCCTGAAAATATGTATTTCTAGGCCAAGTTTCCATTTCAATCAATTGCCATTTTCTTGGGGGGGGAGTGGAAAAAAACCAAACCCAATTCCCAATATTCCCAGCGAGCACTGCTATTCTGGATGCTGCTGCCCACAGACAGCGACGTTGGTGGAGGTGGCAGAAGAAGACAGCTTCTTCTCTCCCATCCCTGCAAATGTGAGTGGCAGCCCTTTGCCCGCTGAACAGACATGAGAAGGTATTCGGAGAGCAGGAAGAAACAACAATCTCATCGCAAGACTTCCTCCACCGCAGGACCAGAAGCATGGGTAACAACCACGTGTGGCTGGCCCAAAAGGCGACTTGGCCCAGACAAGGCACAGCATCCAAGGGAGAGGTCTGGCAAGAGCAAGAAGGTCAAGCAGATGTGCCAAAAACTGGAGCGATGCTGGGCACCGAACACGTGCCGAGAACAGAGAGACAAAACAAGAGCTTTGTACGTGCTGCAGATGACACGTGAGGGAATGGCCAAATGGAAATGCAAATTAAATGGATGGAAATTCATGGTTTCAGCTCTACACGTCCTGTCTCCAAAGAGGCAGAAAGACGGAGGTCCATGTGACACCCTCCCCAGACAGCAACCCCCCCTTGCATGGTGGCGGTACAGTAAAACATGCTCCCCCCCAGCAGATCGCGGGCAGGTGAGGACAGTCCTGTTTCCCCATCGTACACCATTATCATGGACCAGTTATGTGAGTCACTGCCTTTTCCTTCCCCCCAACTTTGCTGTCACTGATGGTTTTGGAGCAGAACAATCAACCAGTACTTCGTATACCAATAAACAAGTCACTCAGAATAATTAGCACACACACAAATTATTTCTGCCTGGGTTGCAATCAGAAACCAGGAGCGAGCCCTTCAGTCAGGTGATGCAACCAACAGCCTACGCAGGGACCATGACTTAACTTGGTATCTCTGGTGCTGAGATGGACTTCAGCCAAAAAGAGCAGCACAGACCCTCCACTGTAAGACCCTCCAAGTTCACTTCTCCTCATGCCACGGGGAGGCTGCCACAAGCAACCCACTCATTTCACAGATGGGCCCTGGTGTCAGATACCATAATTCCACGTACAGCTCATTAAATGGGAATGAAGAGCCAATTGACAATGCCCTCAGTGCCATGTTATCTATGGTAACCATTAAAGATGTGCACAGACAAAATCGCAGGTACACTTCTGTTCTCCTCTCATCAACTGGCTTCAAAAGGAACTTGGTAACAGCTCAGCTCCTGTCCAAATGCATGGTAAGATCAGGCGGGGTGAAGCTGCAGACATCTAACCAACTAATTTTATCTCGTTACCTGCAACATGTTGAGGAGCAGACTCCGGAATTTGGTTCCTTCCACCATGAAGAGCGCCATTTTGTCACAGAGCTTGGCTGCTGTGGAAGCAAAGCTGCGATCCGTCACCGCTTTCTGGTAGATGGTCTTGACTATCTCCCCCAGCATCTCCTCAGAGTTGGTAGAATTCTGGGCCTCCTCCATGAAGGTGGTGAGCTTGGAGTCAACGTCGCTGCTGTTGTTCCTCATGCTGTTGAGGATTTCAATTAATTTGTCCATTTTGTTCTTTTCGGGATTGGTGGTTTCCACCGTGACTTCGTCCTGGTCCGTGAAAAGGGAAAGACAAGGCGTCTGTTACACAAGGAAAAAACAGACATATCAGCCCTTGTCCTTCCACAAACAGCGAAGGGGGAAGGGGATTGAGGAGACATACAAACAGACACAGAAAAAGCAAAGCATCTTTTAGAGGCACAATGGTCTCATCTCAGCATTGAAAACCACAAGTGAAGGAGTCCTTCCCCAGAAACGTTCTCCTTCCCCACTTCCCATAGCACTCAATCCCAGAGTCCAGCCCCTAGGCTCAGGGAGAAGATGCGCCCAAGGGTCCTGAGCTGGGATACCAAGGTCTGACCACCCCTGACTGCCTTCGGCATCTTGAGCAGGTTTCTGGGGGTGTCTACAACATGGTGATAATGGACATTTTTTTGCCTCTATTTTGAAAGTGCACTGATGTTTGCAAAATGCTCAGATAACAATCCTACAGAAATATCTACTTTTTAATATATATATTTAATGATCTAAATTGAGCTCAAAGATGTCACATGATCCCGGCATTAGAAAAACTCTTAACTTTTCCATCTCTTCGCTGTTACACTTTTCACTTCACATCATTACCACAGAATTTATTGCTTCTTTTCAACATTTAATTATGCGTTTGTTCCTTTCCCCCAGAGTAAGGCATGCATCCTGCTTGCTATGGTCTGCCCCCTTCTCCTCCTCTACTTCAATCTGGAAATGTGCTACACAATACAAACCTGTAGCAATTGTTTGGACAACCCCAACGCCAACCAGCAGTTGGAGTTGTCCAAAACTCCCATCAGGAGACCAGTTGTGTTGACTACATCCACCCAGGAGTGGGTGCTTATGTGATGTCTTATAAGACTATAAATTCGCAGAGAGAGCATTAAAATGAATACTCTGAAAGTCTCTGCTATACTCCCATTGCTTTAAAGAACATAAAAATAACTAACAAAATCTCTTCGTCCCCCTCTTGCCACATACATAAATAGTAAATGCACATGCATTCAAAGGTATACATTTCCAACATGCGCTCCCATGGAATTGTATATGTTCAGGTTATTTTTGCTACACATTTTGGAAATCTCATTGGAGATACCCCCACGGACTCATTTTCCAGTCCGACAAAAGAATCTCAAGAGAAAGAATCTGAGTTTCACAGGGGGCAAATGAAGATATCATCTCCGAATTCCTCAGAAATCTGAGGCTGAATATTGTTTCCAAAAAGGATTTCTCCTCCGTCACTTGCATGCAATAGTTTTGTTATTGTTGGGTTGTTGGAAGGAAGGGGGAAAGATAAGGGCGTTTCAATTCATTGCTGAGATAAATGGATATCAACTTTTAAGTAGCTGACTCCAACTATTCAGCACTCAGAAGTCAAAGGTCTGTAATTGTGGAGACAAATTGCCTTTTTTAGACCTCTTTGCAAAGCCGATGAGCTCTGCAGACCAGGAGGCAGTCAGTTGGGATCAGCACCCGGGAAAGGAGCACCCGCGTTGCAGCTCACGCGTGCACCAGCCTTCTCCGAGGGCCTTTGCGTGGGTAGGGGGAGAGTTCCCGGTCATTCTTGGAGAACACACGCTGGTAGCAACCTCAACCAAGGAGGCGAGCATTGTGTCAATAAAAGGCCTCCTGAAGAAGCACGAAGACACTTCGAGAGAAGTGTTGACACTGGGAGATTAAGATAAATTGGGTGCATTCATGGAAAGGTCCCTCGAGCCCAACCCACCCTTTGTAAGGAGAATGGCCAACAGCCAGACTTTTGGAAAAAGGGAAACTCAACGTTCCCCTAAGAAGTAGTACCTTTTCTTTTAGTCTCCTCCGCAGCCTGTCTTTGGAAGACTGAAGCAAATTGATCTTGGGTCTTTCCCCAATGCGCTCGTGAATACTGTCTTTCCGCTTGGTCTCCAACTCCTGGATGTACTGCTGAGACTGCTTCTCCACAGCCTCTGGGCCCCGGTGCGTCTCCACGGGAATATGCACTGTGCAGATGGAGGTGTCCTCGATTTTCAAATTCTCAGTCTCTTTGGCGTTTCTGTGTGTTTCTTTGTCGTTGGGCGAGTGCTTCTGGTTGTGGTGCCATCTCCGGTTCTGGCTGTAGCCGTGGTGGCCTGTCCTGCCTGAGGAGTGAGGGGCCTGGCCTCCTTGGTAGAGTTTCTGGTGGTCCCTGTTGTGTTTGGTGCCACCTTGCTGATGATCTGCGTGCTGCTGAGACTTGTTCCCACCGGGAAGTCTCTGCTGTCGCCTGGAAAGTCAAAGGAAGTCGTTAGTACATCCTTTCCTGCATGGTCCTGTTTGGTCAACACATCTTCTGTCCCACCAAACACCCTGGCCCTTGGCAGGTGGACTCTGTGGGTCTCCCCACCACAAAAGGGGAGCCAATTTCTTGGCATCTAACACAACCTCGTACCAACTCATGCCTCTAAATCTCTTTCGATAACAGGCACGTTTCAGCTGAAAGTTTTCATGAACAGTTAGATAACATGATTTTGGTTCCCAGGAAAATCCCAGGTTTCTGTGTTTTCTACGCTACTTCCACACTAAACCAGGGAAGACCTGGTTAGTCCCAGCTCAGCAGCGGGAAGTCAGGCAGGCAGGCAAGAAATATCAGGAGATTTTTTTTTTTCTGAAGACCTAAGGAGCTCCTGATAAGCCTGGCCTACAGCACCACTTGCTCCTCTTGCTTGCCACCTCTGCTGTACCAACATGGCATTGGTTTGCATAATTTTAAGCGTATCGGGAATTTCTAAGAGAGCAAAAAAAGCTAAAAAGCGAATTACCGAGTAAAAGAGGTGCCCACACCAAACGGTTTTGTTTGGCCTTTCTTTATGCATGTCCTTCATCGTTGCTATGCCGGGAGAGGACGCATGTGTGGATGAAGAAGCTGAGGACCACGCGTGGCTCTGGCAGCGCGGGGAGCCAGGACCATTACCTCCGGATAGCAGGCTGGGTACATATGGCTCCAAACGGATAACATGGAAATTCAACAGGCACAAAGAGGAGGAATTGCCTGCAAATGGTTTGCTCGAGAGACTACAGCGGCTCAGAAGGGGTAAGCAAGCCCCTGTGTGCTGGCCGTAACTGGTAGCCGAGACGGCAGGTCCTCAAAAAATCAATGGTTGAACAGAAGAAACGCTTTGGCAGCCTTGGACATTTCAGATTTCCGCACGAGCTGCAGCATGGCCCTCCCCAGTGGAGAAGGCTGAGCCGGCATGCCATCATCAAGGATGCAATTAAGATGGAGACGGTCCTGGCGTCGGCTGCCTTCGCCTGGGACTCTGCAGAGTTAGTCCTAAGCACGACAGCAGCTCCCTGCCTGCCCGCTGCCTTTTTAACGCTTGGTATTGGCTCTGAGAGCACACGGGATGCTTTAATGCTCAGCTCCTTACAAGGCTGCTGGGAGCAGTGTTGGAGGCTCGCAAGGGACATCTCCCCAGCATCGTCCCCCGAAACAGGGAAACAATTGTGAGCGCTGCGGTGACCAAACTGGTCTGCATCTGTACTGGTTTTGTAGCTGTTATAATCCCCCTGCTCGCCTTATCCCTTACCCCAAGCCCCCGCCCCCGTTCGGATAAATACCAGCGTTTATTTAAAACCCGTCGCATAGCAATTAATTTTATTTTCATCATCCGCACCGCTCGGCTAAGGGCGCTCGGATGAAGGAAGCGGCCATTCACAAATACATTTCAATGGTCAGCGGCTAAACAGTCTCCAACCCTGCCTGCCAAAGCCATCTGCCCATCAAATCTGTATTCCTTGGCATCCCCAGGAGTTAAAACCTATTTTCCGAGGCCAACTGGCTCTTAACCATAAAGAGCGAGGGCTCATGTTTGACGAATGCAGGACGAAGAGGCTTGTTCGTGGTGGCAGTGGAAGGAATTTGTGTTTAGTCTCAGACCACCGGATCTGGTTTTCGGAGATATTCAGCGTGGTGGTTTTTCTTTTTTTTTTTGCAAGCTGAATGGCAGGGAATTTAAAAAAAAAAAAAAAAAGAAGGACCTGGGGAAAGCTTTCCTGTTTGCTGGAGCTTACAAGCATTTTATGAGTACAGATTCTCCACATCAAGTTTTCCTGGCATTTCTTTGTTTCCTCTCAGTAACGCAATCACATAAACCGCTTTGTAAAGAGCAACGCTTATTAAAAGGGGAATGTCAAAATAAAAGTTAGTTAAGACCCTTATCTAGTACTGAGCCCTCACATGCTTAAGCGTGCAAGAGTTTTGCTGATATAATTCAGCGTTTGCTTTCTGTGGTTTTGCTCTTCTCTTGCCTCAGACATCTGAGTTTAACTGTTTGGGTGCACTTTTATTCCTGGGTCATTAGCCAGACAGGCTGCTACTGTATTTAAGCTGCAAATATTGCACAGAAATGACAAAAGTTGCACTCAGACACAGCTTTAATTTAAGCAGAGGTAAGGCAAAACGCCTGGAAATGAGCTGGGAACCAACCTCTGCTGTAAATTCCTGCAAGAAATGCGTGCAGGGACATTTTTTTTTCCCTAAAGACATAACGATATTATAAACCAAACCGTTTCTGTTTAAGGGCTGTGAAAGAAAAAAAAAAAAAGGTTTAAGATTACAAAAAACCACTTAAGCCAGTGTGGAATGTGCAAGATGGTTCGGTTTGGGGCTTTTGGAATAGGACAGGGAGAGGACAGGCAGCTCCGTCCCCGTACAGGACAGCTAAAAAGCAATATCCCCATGGCAAGGAGCAGAGCAAACACAAACCGAAGCTCTGCAGTCACTGACCACAGGACGGAAAACACCAGAGTTAAACAAGTTAGGAAAAAAAATTTGCAAGAAATAAAAGGCAAAGGAAGGAGAATGGCAAACAAGAAGCAATGTCCGTGACTTGGCAGCAGGCAGGGGTCTAGACGATAATCCAGCGTTCAGGCAGAGACTCGTTGTGTGCTTTTATCTTCCCAACACCCCAGCGAAGAAGAAAAGCCAAGAAGAAATAGGACTCTGCAGCAAAGAAGAGCCAAAGCAGGGAGAACGGGGCCCAGATCTTAAAACTTTTTTGACTGCACAGCATCGCAAAGCCCGGGAGGTTGGGATGACCCATCCTTGGTCTCAGGTGTGACCAAGGTGCCGGGGACATAGAGAGCCCCAGGAAGGGGCAAGATGGGGACAAGGGCACCCCACCACATGCATCCGCTGGGGGTTGAGTTGATGGAACACAACCTCGTGCGTGCTCGAGAGCAGGAGAGCCGAGATGGTGGCCTGGGGTGACCTGCCAAGCTTAGGGAACCAGACCATGTAGGAACCCAAAGGCACCTCCCAGCCCAGCGTTTTAGGCTTGCCATGCCGAAGGGAGGAACAGCTGAAGCTTGAATCCCACAGCAACATCTCCGAGCAAAGGAAGAATTCACCCCAGAAAAATGCTGCAGCTACTGGGAAATCTTTCTTCTGTCCCTCTCTGCTCATCCTTTGCTGTAAGGACATGGTGCCTTGCGGGGAATCCGGCTTCAGCTACAAGAAAAAGTACCTAGAGAGCACACCGCTCTCTTACTTCTTGCCTCTGTTTAATGTTAAATAACTCTTTTCACTTCAAAGGCCACATTCTGATTCAGCTCAAAACTCCCCCTGACTTCAGTGGGACCAGGGGTTTGGCCATCAGTCAACGTGGAGCCTTAAAGAGACGTTGAGAGTTACAAAGAAACTGCAGAAGAACTAAAACCCAAAGGGAGAGAGTCAGGGTTGCCAAGCTGGAAATAGGATGGTATCGCTTGTGCTATCATTTCTCCACTGATTTTTTTATTTAATTAACTAAATGAGATACCTTTCAACAGAATTTAGATCTGACAAATGTCTGCTCTGTCAGAGGAGCCTACGCAAACAAATCTAAGGCTTCAGCTGTCTCGGTGATTACCAGCCTACGTGCTCAGAAATACGGGATTCCTGCAAGTTTTTACTACATCGTTTGCTCCCAAGGAAAGGGGCTGGAAGGCACAAGGCCGGGGAAAATAACTCCAGACACGTGGACAGCTGTGGTCTAAAACACAGTTGCTCCGTCCCGTCAGCCCTGCTCATATCCCCCCGAGCGAGACAAGTCCTCCGAGAGCCCCCACCATTTGTCTGGCATGTGGAGAGCCGGAGGACAACGCGGGGTTACATTCTCCTGGTGGTTGCACGGAGATTTGGTCAGGCAATTCCTGCAAATACTGAGAGGTAAGGAGCTACAGCTCCAATGGCACTCAAGACATTTAACCTGCGGTGCAGAGCATCCCGAACGGACTGAGATCCCGTCCGTGGGCTCAGGGACTGGATGCTTTGGACATCCTGGATCTTGCCTTCGAAGAACCTGCCTGGACATCACGCTTGCCCTCAATCCCAGGCAACTCTCCCATGGGACAAACCCTCCTGGGCACGCTAAGCTCCTCACAGAGGAGGGATGCTGGTTTTGTCCTGCTTTCATGCAGAGCCTGATACCTGGTGGGCACAGCCAGGGCCACGGACTTGCAGCCACTCAGGCAAGAAGTTGAGAACAAAGAGCGGTGCCATGGCCAAGGTCAAACCTTCTGCTTCCCCTTCATCCTTCTGGTGAATGGAAACATTCCTCACTGCATTCTGCAGACAGAAAGTTTCTCTCCACCCTTTCTTCTGCCCAGGCAGGATCTCACCTTTGTGCCAGGATCAGGCCCAGGAATATGGCGCTAAGTCTTGGGAGCATCTCATGATCAACTTTGCTATTAACATGCCTGCAATTAATTAGCAATTGCCGCTATAAGGGATAGATTACGATCTGCTGCAGAAATGGACTCTGTGGGACCTTCCACTCCTATGAGGATCCCAGGTCCCACTTATCCGTGGCACCCCCCAACGCCAGAAGAGTAGAGCATCCCCGAGGCACGCAGCAACTGTACCTGCAAATGGAGGACTAGTGGGGCTGGCTCTATGGGACGAAGGGCCACCTCTCTCCCACCTTCTTTTTGAAAACCCCACAGTAATTTTCCATTGAGGGAGGGAAATTAAATAAAGCTCTTAGAGACACCACTGAAAGATTTAAATGCACAGAGACTGATAGCAACTGGGTTCTTCACGGCTGTACTAGCTAGCTGCCCTGAAAAGGGAAAGGGCAGGAAGAAGCAGAGTCCCCTGAAACATCCCCTGAACAAATCAATGTCTCTAGGCTCAGGCTTTCTGAACTAAGCATTTCACGCACCACGAAACCTGACGGCAACCCCAACCCTGGCCAGGGACGCAGTCGATGATGGCATGGCTTGGAGAGAGGTACCCCGCTAGCC